TATTTGCATTGTGAGCATGAGAGATCTGTCTCTACTAATACCTAATAAAACTTTTTTGAAGTGATTAGTGATCACCCTGGTAATGTTACCACCAAGCATAAACATTTACTGGGCATATCTGGTGTGTCTATCCTTGTTGAATCCCTATTCAGGGAACAAGTAGCACATCTTTAATGAAACAGTATCTTCTCTAGATAGCCTTTGTCTGGTACTTCTGATTGCCAGCGAAAGACAATTATGTGATAAGTGTTACAAAGTAGATGGAAGGCTGATCTTAGAATCCTGAAGTTCTAAGCTCAAGTCCTGGATCTGGCACACATGGGTAGCTCCTCTTATCATCCATTACTTTCTGTACTCATTCATTTGTTCATTCTGCCTTCTTATGTCCAATGCCCATCACATTGTGTATGACGGGATGCTTGCTTCTTCTTAATTGCTTATTTGACAGTCATAAATAAATACTTGCAATAGTTATGACAGTCATAAATAAAATAAATAATTGCATAGTACTTGTCCTAAATACATAAGTACTTATGACATGTCATAAATAAAATCAAAGTTGTTTATTATGAAAAGACTATGTTTTCAAATGTGACACAATGAAACTCTTACTAATGAAATTATTCTGTTTTCCTATCAGACCAAGGGAAATATTGTGTTGCCTAATTTGTTGGCCAGACTAATCTTGGGGAAAAAACACATTTTGCAGGAAAAAAAGACAATTTCCAGCACCTTATTTAAACATATTTCTCACCAAAATTACTAGATAATCCTATGGTGTGTTTCCTCCTCATGGCTTCCTATATTCAGGCTAGTATTTCAACTTCCATCCCAAGAACCCTGATCAAAACTCTTTCCGAAGTCTTTCCTCATTGAAGAAAACTGGAGAAAAAGCTTTCATGCTGATTTCTGTACAACCATGATTCCATCTGAGGTGGAAATTTGAAGTAGTGAAAGAAAACTTAAGACCATTAGATCAATGAAGCAGACACATTTTTTTTTTTACTTAATCAGCAAGGAAAACATCCTGTGATGTTCTAGGAGACTTTCCCCATATAACTCTTATCTAGCAGTTCCTAAACCAGATATACTTTAACATGAAATTAAAAACATAAAGGAATTTGAATGATAGAAATGTAAATTCTAGTATTTGCTTTGGTTTAAAAAAGCTTCACAAGTTAACAATACAAAAGACATGTATTTGTCAGTATTCTTCTGAAGAAAACCTAGAGTTTTTGGCAGATTCCAACCTGAATATGAGACAAAAGTATTGTATGTTATCTAAGGAATGTGACATAATCTTCACTATGATAGAGCATCTGGGCATGGGACATGAGAGTTAAGTTGCATTTGGCTTTACCCAGACCTCACTGGGAACATTGTGTTCAATTTTGTGTGACAATGTTCAGTATGGAGACTGATAAGCTCCAAAATTAACAGTAGCAAGCAATGATTCTATTGAAGACATAAAAGCTCATGATATATGAGCATCAGTTGAAGATATTATATTGTTACCATAAAGAATAAGTTCGTGGCTTCATAAATTTCTAACTGGAATATCACTAAAAATTCATGTCATCAAATTACACATTTGATGTGTATGAGTCAGAGAGGATAAAATTATATACCATAGTAACACAGGTCATAAGTAACAAATATGTTCCTTGAACCCAGGTCATGTAGCTATAGAGAATGTCCCAAAAAATTTAAAGTATTAGAAACTTACATCTTCTGGTTGGTTGCTGTACTCTGTTCTCAAAGAGAACATGTGCATGATTGCACATATATCACCAGCAGAAAATTCGTTTCCAAGTCAATGAGGTTTGAGAAGGGTGATGGAGAGAATTTAGAATACAAAATTAAAAAAAAAACGGTTATTGTTAAAATTGTTTTTAAATGTAAGTAGGGAAAAATGAAAATATTAATACTTATTCAAAATATTCATTGATCACTTATTGACATAATTTAGACTTCCAAATACATGTGTACTTTTTGTTTCCTTTGACCGATTCTAGATCCTTCTATTTCCCAGCAGCCCATTCACTTCCCATTCAGTTTCATTTTGACTTTCATGAATGCCTCAAATGTGACATGACCCTGAGCCTGATATTTTTGTGCGTGTACCATAGTTCCAAAATCAGTGAAAGAGCATAAAAGCAATTGTTAGGGATATGTGTATTTGATGATGATGAAGATGGTGCAAATCATGAAGATAAAGAATATAAATATTTCTGATGATAAATTATGACGGTTATGGTGATGATGATGATGAATACATTGAATATTTAGATTTCTCTGAATTTTGAGGCAGCTATATAAAAGATAAAATACAGAATGTTCAGCATATAATTAGGAAAAGTTAGTTCCAACCTTGCTTCTACTGTTTATAGGCTACATGACACTAGAAATTTATTTAGTTTTTGAGACTCAATTTCTTTGTCTGTAAAGTGGTGTTTAAAATAATATTAAACCTACTTCAGAAGATTGTTGTAAAACTTCGATGGGATAATATTTATGAACTCTATTTACAATTGACAGCTGTTATTTACACTTGTTTTCTTCTTATGCCTGTCTTAAAATGTGTATAATGAAAGCACTTTGATATTATTCTCAATACTTTGAAATAGTCTATTTAAGATAAAACACTAGAGAATTAATACAAAACAAAACAAAACAAAAACTCCCCCAAGATCACTTGACATTGTATGGATACCATTGGGAAATGGTATTCTCTGAAGCTGTATAAACTCACAGGACTTGAGGAAAAGTGAACATGGGTTACTATTGGGGAAGAGAGTTATCAGTTACTTTTTCAAAAGAAATACGAACTAGAAAAATATCAAGGTTATTAAAGAAATTATGTCTTCAAATATTGTAGTAATGAAACGATTAAAAATTAAATATTATTTTTTTCCTATCAGGCTAATGAGAAGCTTGTGTTGTAAGGTTTTGTGCATTACTAATCTCAAAGAAAAGGATACAGACAAGAAAAAGACAATTCACAACACTTATTTTAATGATATTTTATTTTCTCCCACATGTATGTAAACATAATTTCTAAAATTCATTTTAATAAGTTTTTAGTTACAAATTCTGTCCCTCCTCCCCTCCCCAAGTCCCTCCCTAAGATGATAAGCAATCTGATATAGGTCATACATGCACATATTTCACATCAAACTCACTAGACAATTACATAGTTCTTCCTCTCCTCATGCTTTCATGTATTTAGGCCAGTATTTAAAGTTCCATCCCTAGAGTACCAGATCAGAAAATCTTCCCCAAGTCCTTCGTCGTTTAAGAAAACTAGAAATGAGGCTGTCAGTTTGACTATTGCATAACGACATTTCTTCTTCTTAGCTAGAAGTTGGAAGAAGGAGAAAGAGAAAATTCAAGCAGATAAATCTATCAAGCAGATATTTTCTTAGTTAATCAGTCCATAAAACCTCTGAGGAGGCCCTGCCTGTAGACCTCTTTCCCCATACAAGATGAGAACATTTTCCCAGTAGTTCCTAAACCTGATGTGCATTGACTTGAGATCGAAAACATAAAGGACTTCAAATGACAAGAATGCAAAGTCATATTCAATAATTTTTTTAAAAGCTTCATAAATGAACCATAGGAAAGATATGTATTTGTGGATATTCTTTTGAAGAAAACTTGGAGGTTTTCTGGGTTTCCAACTTCAATGTGAGTGTAGGGTGTTATATATAAACTAAGGAAGGTGATATCATCTCCATTAACTTAGACACGGCATCTTAGTGTAAGATGTGAGAGTTGAGTTGCATTGTGCCTTGACCAGACTACCTTTGGAACACTGCGCTCAACTTTGGGTAACAGAGTTCAGGATGGACAGGAATAAGCTCTAGAGTTAACAGAGAGAGAAACAATAATGAAGAGATAAAGAGATAAAAGCCCATGATGTGTGAGGGTCAGTTGATAATATTCTGTTGCTAGCACAAAGAATAGATTTGTGGCTTCACAAAATGTGAACTGTTAAAATTTGCATAATTAATCTCCCACATTTTATAGATGAGTGTCAATCAGAGAGGATGAATTTATTGCCCAGAATATCACAGGCCACAAGTAACATTCCTGTTATTTGAACTGGGGTCCTAGAAATGTACAGAATTTCTCAAAAGACAGTTCTTTTGAAGCTTTAGAAACTTTAATGTGTACTAAGATTTTTGTGACACCCTGTCTATCCCATTGCTCTTTTTTCAGTCTATCACAAGAATGAAGGATCTGGGAGTTAAGGTGGGGGAAGAAATGAAAACATTTTTCAAGAATTCGAATAAACATTATAAAGATTAGGGAATCAGTTTGTCTCACTTTCCAGAGAAGATTAAAAGAAATGGCTGGAAGTCAGTGAGGAGGAAACTGAAGACATAATAAGGATAAAGTCCTTAACAATAAGAGATATTTGAAGGCAGATTAGCTGCTGTGGTTGACAGCATGGGTCTCATGTAAATGTTGTTTCTCTTAATAAAATGTTAGTTCATTGATGGCAAGAACTATTTTTCAAATTTTGTCTAAGTCCAATGCCTAAAACAGTAGTCAATGTCAGCATTTTATAAATGCTTGATAAATTATTTTCCCAGCAGGAAAACTCCAAAGTTAAGCTGTTTACTATTGTAGAATATAATGGAATAGATTGTTTTATGGATATGATTTGTACTAAATTCTTTAACAGGTCCATTCAGTTAAATAGTCCATTAAATTAGTATTCATTGGCAGGTGACCACAAAATAAAAACCTAACAATCAAAAATCATTCTCTGATTGCATATTAAGAGATGTATTTTTACTCTAAAGGATGAGAGAAGAATCAAGAAGTTGGCAAAGACAAATTTAATTTGTCTAAGACAAATTTACTTGCTTTCAAAAGTACATTGGAAATACACCCTACATTAGGCATTAGAGAGGATGTTTATATATCATTTTTTAAAGAGACTTTTCAAGGCACTTTTCACCTCTTTGTTCCTCAAGCAGTAGATCAAGGGATTAAGCATGGGGGATGACCAGGGTGTAAAAGACAGAAGCAATCTTGTCTGTGTGAAAGGAGTGGCTAGACTGGGGCTGCAGGTACATGAAGAGAAGTGTCCCATAGAATACAATCACCACTGTGAGATGAGAGCCACAGGTGGAGAAGGCTTTGTGCCTGACCTCAGAAGAATTCATCCTGAGGATGGCCACAAGAATGAGCATGTAGGAGATAAGGATAATCAAGAGGGAAGAAACAAAATTAAATGTGGCAAAGATCATAATGATTAGTACAATGTCATTGGTGTCTGAGCATATAATGGACAATAGAGGGAGACCATCACAGTAGAAATGTCTTATTACATTTGATTTACAGAAAGATGATTTAAAAAGCTTTATTGTGACCAACAGGGATACCATGATGCTATAGAGGTATGAGATAGCTACCAAAATCCAACATACTCGGTCTGAGACAATAACCATATAATGGAGGGGCTTACAGATAGCCACATAGCGGTCATAAGCCATGGCTGATAGGATAAAAAGCTCACTGGTGATAAAAATCACAAAGAAAGCTAGCTGTATTGCACATCCACTATAGGAAATGATATTTCTCTCCTCTATGAAACCAACAAGCATTTTTGGCCCAACAGCTGTGGAATAGCCAAGGTCAACAAATGCCAGATGTCTGAGGAAGAAGTACATGGGGGTCTTGAGGTGGGAATCCACACTGGTCAGGATGATGATACCCAGGTTTCCAAGAGATATGGCCATAAAGTTGAATAAAAACACAACAAACAGAGGGCCCTGAAGCCCAGGATGGTTTGTGATGCCCATGAGAATGAATTCAGTCACTTGGCTCCCTGAGCTTTCATTCAGCTTGATCATTTCATCTGTACAAAGATCATAATCTGAGAAGAAAAGGAAGAATCCTTCTCTGAGGAATGATTGAATATGTAATTAGACAATTAGTGGGTAGCAATGTCTTAGAGAAAATGAGCAGGGATTTTCCTACACTATTTCACTGTAATTGTATTAATTTAGTTGCCATGTGGTGAATTCACTCAAATTGAAATCAAATCATCTCCTATCATTTCATATCATATCATATCATATCGTATCATATCATACCATATCATATCATATCAACATCCTGTCTCCAAGAATAAAATGAACATTTTTTTATTTTACAAAATAAAGAGTGAATATGAAATTACATATTCTCAAGTGGTGATGCGGTATAACATTATGAATATATTTTAAAATATTTTAAGTAATTAATGAGTCAAAGATTATAATGGGGTACTAACGTAGGATAGAACATATAAAATTACCTTATGGAAGAATTGTGAAGTAGGTATGATGTTGGATTTGAAGTTAAGAAGATATGTGCTAAAAAAGCATATCCAAGATATTTCTAAGTAACCCTTTGCTGGTCATGTAACTTCCTTGTTGTTCAACCATTGTCTATAAACATGCAAACATGCACTATGGCTGCAAAGTGTGGTCCATGACAAGAAATTCAATTTCCTTTTCCAGTGTGCCCTACGTCTTCAAAGGTAAAGGTCCAGTACATATTGTAGCCTCTATCTCATGAAGTCATTAATTATACGACACCCAGGGAGACTCCATATATATCTACCCACTCTCTTTAATCCCCCTTCCTTTTGCCTTATCACAAAGAATATATTTTTCCACCTGGATTATAAAGGTAAATTAGAACAACAGTTTTGAAGTTTTTAATGTATATTATTCCAAGAGACATGAAAAGACTTTTTTTTTTTTGGCTAGGCAATGGGGTTAAGTGACTTGCCCAGGGTCACACAGCTAGTAAGTGTTATGTGTCTGAGGCCGGATTTGAACTCAGGTCCTCCTGAATCCAGGGCTGGTGCTCTATCCACTGTGCCCCAGAAAGACTTTTTTTAAATGATTCTTCTTCAGATGACGATCAACTGCATGGCATTGATCTCAAAGATCATTGAGATCCCATATGTGATTAGCTATGAGTGTTCCTCGACAAAAGCACTTTGATTTCTCTGATTACAAAAAGAAGTTTCTATGGCAATTGTCATAATTTGGAACTGTCATCTGATGGCTTACTAGAAGGATTTTATGCCATTTCAATTTGAGAGGATTCGTTCCATGTCCCATAAATTGTCCCATTTACCCCCACAGTAGGCATAGTGATCAGCTTTTTAATCTGAGTTACTTAGACTCCCTTTTTTTTTTTTTTGATATATGCTGCACTGGTAAATTCACAAACAAAGAATAATATTACCTGCTTATCTGTAAGGTAGAATCTGTTGTGGTTTGTTCATGTTATCTGTACTACCAGCTGTTTGAGTCATACTTTATGATTTTCTCTGTCCCCATGAGGCAATACCCTTGGAGCAATGGGGAAGTTTAATGAACTTCATATGATCACATCATGGAAATTGCCCAAACATAAATAAGTTACACTGCTCAGTGGTTTATCTAAGTCCATGAAGCACTTATTAAATATCTCCCACATTCCAGGCTTCTGTTTGTGGATTATATCTCATGGCTGCATCAAGCCCAAGGACCGTGCACAAACTTCTGGAAGTGGTCTGTAGCCAATATCTTTATTTTAACTATTCCTATGGATGAGAAGCATCTAGCCCGCAGGATGTAACATACAGTTGAATTGGCAAGGTGGAAAGTTAAAAAAAATAATTCAACAATATGCTGCTTTTAGGAAATGCTGTAAAAATGAGCGATACACACAAAGATAAAATAAAGGTCAGAAGTAGAATTTATTATGTAAAAAAACAAGGGTAGTAATCATGATGTTGGACAAAGTTAAAGCTAAAAGAAATTTAATCAAAAGAGAAAAATAGGGAAATTACACTATGGGTCTGCAATATTATTCAATATTGTTTTTGACCACTTAAAATAATTAGACAATATAAAATGCTTAAAGTATATCTGCCAAAACAGACACAGGAAATATATAAATATAAATATAAAACACTTTTTTTATACCAGTAAAGCCAGATCTAAATAATTAAAGTAATATTTTTGTTCATGGGTAGGTAAAGCCAATGTAATAAAAAAATGACAGTTTTTCGTATTTTATTCAATGCCATTCAATAAGTTCCTAAAAAATACCCCAATCTTACTGAGTTACAAAAAAAAATATCAAAGTTCATATGGAAGAACAAAAAGACAGGAACTTCAAGAAAATGGGGGAGATGTAAAGAAAGCAGATTCAGCAAGTATAAATGATCATAGTATGGTCTTACATATATATATATATATATGTGTTAGCATATATGTCTATGTTCATTTATATATGTATATGTGTGTGTGTGTATGTGAGCATGCATGTGTGTGTGTGTGTGTGTATCCATGCTTAATTGTAGATCTCATTAGTGTGGTAGGGAGGGGAAAATAAAGTAAAAAAAGCACACAGCAGAGAACAACAACAAAAAAAACCCTACAAGGAAGCAAGGCAAAGCTGGGCTCCAGTATATAACAAAATCTAAGTGGCTCAGGCATTGGAAATTAACTAGGAGACGGTTCCCAATATGTATGACTTGGAAATGGTAGAGTTTCCCTACATGACCAAGCCAGACAGAGTTTTCATGTTTGAGTTCATTTACAAATTCATTGGCACGGCTCAGTGAAAAGGAGAGAAAGCACATTCAGCTCAGTATCACAATGGCAGATACAGGTTGGCTGGTGTTGGTAGCCCATGCAAGGCCCACTTTTAAAGATTTGGGAGATAGTTTGAATCAGGCAGTCCTTTTATATACCTTGAGTATCATTTTCTGATCTAGTATATAGACAACCAGCCTCGTTTCAGTCATGTTCCCTGACATTATCTCTTAGAGGGTGGTTACTATAGAGAATGGGCCAACACTTCTCATCACCATGAGTATCCATAGATAACCACCTTTCAAAAATAGTTAAGTAATCAGAAGTGCTCTGAGAGTGGCAGTAATGTTTGAGAACCAGTTATGTTGTTTTGTTTGTTTGTTTTTTCCCCACTATCACCCCAAGAAACAGCTTTGGAGTTGTAAATTGGCATTTCCTTCAGTATGTTTTGTAAACACAACTATTGACCAAGAGATGAAACATCCACTGAATGTATGTTTTTATCTAAGAAAGACATATGAAAATCATGTGAAAGAAGAGCATTATCATATTTTTTGGTGCTGTACTTTAAGTATTCCAAGCACTTTCCATTTGACTTACACATGACAAATTATTTTGCGATTGTCTTTATCTATTAAGATATGAGCTCCTTGAGGGTATGGATTGTCTTCCACTTCTATTGGTGTCCCAGATGCTTAGCCCAGTGTTATGTATAGAGTAAATGTTTAAAAATTATGTTTTCATTAATTCATCCAAATCGATTTGGGGGTCTTAATAAATATATTCCAGGAAGTGATATTTCCTTCAGTCAGAATACTTTGGATCTAATAACCGAAACCTTTCCTAGCTAACTCCCTCCTTCTTTTCCAGTCTTCTGAAACTATATTTCTTGCCACTTTTCAACCCAATGGCACTGATTTAATTACCTATATCTGCAAACAAAATCCTCCATCTCTCACCTCTGGGCATTCTCTTATCAATTATTGCATAACTGAAACATTTTCATTCCTCTCTTCTGCCTCCTCACTCCCTGGCTCTTTTAAGTTTTAACTAAATTCCTATTTTCCATAGGAAGCCTTCCTCAAACTTTGCTATTCAAGTGCTTTCCCTTTAATGATTATTTCCTATTTATATTATACATAATTTGCTTTGTTTCAATATTGTCTCCACCTTTAGATCATCAACTCCTTGAAGGCAGGGACTCTCTTTTACTTTTTATTTTTTTTTAATCCCCAGCATTTAGCTGAATGCTTGGCACTTTCTGGTGCTTATTAAATATTTATTCATCAATTGTAGCCTTAATGTAGACTTCCCAATGCATATATAGTTTTAATTTCCCTTTGATTGAATCTAGATCCCAATACTTCACAGAACCATATTCACTTCCCGTTCATTTTCACTTTGACTTTCACAAGTACTTTAAATATGACACAACACTGATCTGGATATTTCTTTGCATGTACCACAGTGCATGATCCAGTGTATGAACAGGAGTAATTGTTAGGGAAATGTGTATTTGACGATGATGATGATGATGATGTTGATGAAAATCATGAAGTGGACAAGAAGGAAAAAAAAAGATTGATGATGACAAATAGTAATGGCAATTGTGAAAATGATGATTGCATTTAGAAATAAATTTCCCTGAGTTGAGAGGCTTCCTAGTGTAAGAGAGAGAGGTGCAAAATGTTGTACTTTAGTCAGAATACCTGGTACCAAACTTGTGCTTAATGTTTATAGGCTAGATGACTTCAGCACTTTATTGGATCTTATCTGAGGCTCAATTTCTCCATCTGTAAAATGGTGTTAAAATGTCTAATAAAGCTACTTCAGAAGGTTATTGTGAAGTTTCAATGAGATGATGTCTATGAACTCTATCTACAAATATCAGCTATTATTCATACTTTTTTTCTTAGACCTATCCTAAAATGTGTCTAAGGATAGCACTTCTATATTATTCTCACTACTGTGAAATAATCTATTTAAAAGGAAACAGAGAATTCAGACAAAAAAATAAAACTAGTGTAAACAACTGCCCCATGTAAGACCACTTTACCATTGTGAAGATCTCATTTATAGATTTTTAACTCACGGCTTGAGAGCAGTTGGGATGGATTATTGTTGGGGAATAGAGTTACCATCTAATAATTTTTTTTCCAATAGAAATGGATACAAAGCTGAAGAATCAGCAAGGTCAATATGGAAAGTTTGCATTTTCAAACATTGTAGTAATGAAACTGTTCTTAATGAAATAATTCCCTTTTCATGATTTCCTATATTCAGGTCAGTTATTTTTAGTTAGAAAAAGACAGTTGTTAGGATTTTATTTTTAACACATTTCAAACCAAAATCACTAGACAATTCCATAGTGCTCTCCCTCTTCATCATTTCCTATATTCAGGTCAGTATTTTCCAATTCCTTCCCCACCCCACCTGACCAAGATATTTCTTCATGTCCATTTTCATTAAAGATAATCATAGAAGAGGTTGTGATAATGATGAATTAGAAGTTTTTTGGTAGAAGTTAGAAGTTAGAAGAAGCAAGGGAAAGTTCAAAATAATTAGATGGATAAATAAAATGCTTTCTTATTTAATGAGCTTGTAAAATCACAAGGGAGGTCATGGGATAGGATTGTTTCCCCATACAAGCCGAGAACCTTCTCCTAACAATTTAAAATCATATTTGATCTGGCTTTTAAAAACTTCATAATTGAAGAATTAATAAGATATTTTTAGGCATTCTTTTGAAGAAAATGTGGAGTTTTTAGTGGATTCTAAGTTGAATGAGTTTAGGGTATTATATATCAACTAAGAAAGGTAATGTGATCTCATTTAAGACAGACATGGCATCTTGGCTTAGGAAGTGAAAGTCTGATTGCATTCTGCCGGGGGAAGAGAGCATTTATGACTTTGTGTTCAATTTTGGGTGACAGTGTTCACAGTGGACAATAAGCTCCAATGCGATGAGAGGGAGGAAACAATAATATTTGAGACAAAAGCACATGATATGCAAGTGCTCTTTGAAAACACTATGTTAGCAGAAAGTATAGGTTCATGGAATTATAGATTTTTAATTCTATTGGCATTTAAAATTTGTATGATCAGACTCCCTCATTTTATAGATGTTTCTGAATAAATTTGTTATCAATAATATCACACATCAGAAGTAAGAGACCTGTCATTTGAACCTAGGTCCCAAAACTGTACAAAATGTCCCAAAAAATTTCATTCATTTTAATCTGAACTGGGACACCCTGTATATCACAGTGTTCTTTCCATTCTAGCACAAGCATGAAAGATCTAAGACTTAAAATAGGAGAGGAGATGGAAATTTTCTTCAAAAAATAAGTAATTATTAGAGTTAAACAGCTTGTTCTGATTCACAAAGAACAGAAGCAATGGCTCTAAGTTGTTGAAGGGAAGCTGGGATCATAAAAATAAACTTCTTAGCCTGGCTGCTCCAGTGGGCAGTGTGGGTCTCATGTACATGTTATTTACTTTAATAAAATATAAGTTCACTGATGGCAAAAATGAATTTGTTTTTAGTCTGTATATGCCCAAAACCTAGGATAGTATCTTGTGCCAGCACTTTCTGAATGCTTGTTAATTAATTTTCCTACACAAGAAAAATTCAACCAAAATTAGGTCGCAAACCACTGTAGTACGTAATGAAATGGATTTTTTAAAGAGATATTTTGCATTAAACCTTCTCATACTTCTTTCAATTAAATGATCCAGTAAACTAGGGTTTTCTGGAGTTTGTCAATTAAAAAAAAAGCTAAGAAACAAAAATAATTATCTGACTACATATTAGAAATGCTTTTTCCCCCCTCTAGCTGAAGAGAGAATTAGGGAGAAGTTGACAAAGAAATATAGCAGAAATTTATGTGATTCTTGTAATGCAATGGAATTGTACTCTGCATTTGGAACTAAAAAAACACTTACATTATTATTTAAACAGTCTTTTCAAGGCATATTTCACCTCTTTGTTCCTTAAACTGTAGATTAAAGGGTTGAGCATGGGGATAACCAGAGTATAAAAGACAGAGGCCATCTTGTCTGTGTCAAAGGAATGGCTAGACTGGGGCTGCAGGTACATGAAGAGAAGTGTCCCATAGAATAGAATGACCACTGTGAGATGAGAGCCACAGGTGGAGAAAGCTTTGTGCCTGCCCTCAGATGAATTCATCCTGAGGATGGTCATAAGAATGAGTATGTAGGAGACAAGGATAATCAAGAGGGAAGAAACCAAATTAATTGCAGAAAAGGTCATAATGATTAGTCCAGCCTCACTTGTGTCTGAGCATATAACGGACAATAAAAACATACAGTCACAGTAGAAATATTGTAATACGTTTGATTTACAGAAAGATGACACAAAAATCTTTGTTGTGATCACTAGGCATACCATTATGCTATAGAGGTATGAGATAGCCACCAAGATCCAACATACCCTTCCTGACATGATGACCATATATAGGAGAGGCTTACAGATAGCCACATAGCGATCATAGGCCATGGCTGACAGGATAAAAATTTCAGTTGTGATAAATATCCCAATGAAAACTAGTTGTATTGCACATCCGTTATAAGAAATGACATTTTTCTCCTCTATGAAACTAACCAGCATTTTTGGCCCAATAGCTGTGGAATAGCCAAGGTCAACAAATGCCAGATGCCTGAGGAAAAAGTACATGGGGGTTTGTAGGTGGGAATCCACAGTAGTTAGAATGATAATACCGAGGTTCCCTAGAGCTGTGACCATGTAGTTGAGGAAAAAGACAATAAAGAGGGGGCCTTGTAGCTCAGGAAGGTTTGTGATGCCCATGAGAATGAATTCAGTCACCTGGCTCTCTGTGGTTTCATTTGAGTTGATCATTTCTTCTATCCAAGGAAGATAATCTGAGAATAAAAGAAATAAGCCTTCTTTGAGTATTGTTTGCATAGATAATTAGTCAGAACTACCTTAATTAATATGAGCAGAAACTTTTCACTCAATTAGTGTGATTTTTATCAATTTAGGTTGATTCACTCAAATTCAAATAATTCTTATCATTTCATACCATATCATCATTCTGTCACTAAGAGCTAAGTGAGTATGGTTGTATTTCACAAAATAAAGAGTAAATTATGAAACTACTTGTTCCCAACATATGGGAAGTGATATTATGAATATATTTTAAAATATTTTAATTAATCAGTGAGTCAAAGGACTATAATGAGATACAAAATAAGAATAGAGTCTATGAGGACACCTTATGGAGGAATTATGGTGAAAAACATATCAAATTGCCTTTAAGGTTAATAGGACATTGAACCACATTTAACACATTTCCAAGTCACCCTCTGCTCCTGGTTGTTGGGCCATTGTCTATGAATATCAGTTGCAAAGTGATCACCTGTGCCAAAAGATGGAATTTCATTTTTATGAATGTCTTAAACCATGAAAGTAAAGATGAAAAATTTATTCTGCTCTTTACCTCATTCAGTCTTTTATTTTATGGCATCCATGGAAACCTCATATATTTGGATTGTGAAAATGATCTAAGCTTATAATTTTGTTGTTTTTCATTCCCATAAACAGGAAAATACTTTTAAAAATTATATTTGATGTTCAGATGAGCTCCACTTACATAACATTGATCTCAAAGATCACTGGGATTCCATATATTATTAGGAATCAGTGCCCCTTGACAAAAGCTTTTTGATTAATCCAACTGCAGAAAAGCATCTGTGACATTGTTCATAGCTAGGAGCTATCATCTTCTGGCTTTGCTAGAATAATGTTATGCCATTTCAATGAATTCACCCCTAAATTGCCCCCACAGTTGCCATAGTAATCAGCTTTTTGAACTGAACTGCTTAGACTAAATTTTGATACCTGCGGCACTGAAAAATTCATGGACAAAACATAATGTTACCTGTTCATCAGGAAGGTAGAATCTTCTGTGGCTTGTTCATGCTATTTTACCACCAGTTACTGTAGGGAGACTTTATGGGTTTTTTAGTCCCTATGAGGCTATGTCCCTGGAGCACTGGAGAAGTTTAATGAATTGCATAGGATCATGTCATGGAAACCTAGAGATGAAACAATGGTTATAGGTTTCCCTAATTACATTATTCATTAAATACCTATCATTTTCCAGGCTCCTGTTTTCAGGTGATATATTTTGGTTGCATCAAGCCCAAGGACCTTGCAAAGACATGTGAAAATGATCTGAAGCCAATCAAAATGGTGTATTGTAATCATCCACACACTAAAGGCCAAGTAGATGAAGACCATCAAGTTCCCAGAATATAACATAAAGTTGGATGGGCAAGATGGAGAATTTGCCTCTTTTGGATGAATCTCTGGGGCAGATAAATACAAACAGACTTGGTGTTGGGCACAAAAAATAACCAAGGGGAGGCTAGATTGTCTTCAGAGGTTTATAAGGTTTTTTAGAGGGAGCTAGGTGATGCAGTGAATAGTGTACTTGGCCTTTCCTTAAGAAGAACTGATTCCTAATCAACCTTAATAAACTAGATGTTTGATTATTTTTGCAAGCAATTTATCCTCTTTCTGCCTATTTTTCTTTCTAGTAAAATAGGGCTAATAATAGCATCTATACATCATGTGATGACCAAATGACATTTTTATCAGGTACCTGAGTAAATTAGTGGGTATATCCCTGGGCCTGATGTCAGAAAGAACTGAGTTTAAAAGCTTTCAGACACTTTTAGCAGTGTAACCTTGGGCAAATAACAATATTTGTTTGCCTCACTTCCTTAAATTTTCAAATGGAGATAATAATAGCACTTTCTAGTTGTATTGTAAGAATCAAATGAGATATTGTATGAAAAGTGCTTAGCACAAATAGCGGTCTATGATAGACATTTATTAAATGTGTGTATACTTTTCTTAATGACTCTAATCTTTTTAAGACCCATAATCTTATTTTTAGATGAATTTTTAATAATCTTTTTTTAAAATTTAGTTTAAAATTATTTTCCTCCTTCAAACTTTTTTCCTCACTCATAGGAAAAGCAAGCAATACGATACCAATTATATGTGTGAAGTAACACAAAACATATTTTCATATAGTTAGGTTGCAGAAATAAAAAGGAAGGGAAATAAAGTGAAAAAAATGTATTTCAATCTGCATTCAATTTTCATCACTTCTTTCACTGTGGAGGAGAGTATTTTTCATCAAGACTCTTTTGGAATTGCCATGGATCTTTATATTACTCAGAGAAACTAAGTCACTGTTGATCATTATTACAATATTGGTGTTACTGAATATAACATTCTTGAAGCTCTTATTATTTAAACTTGCATCAATTCATATAAGTCTTCCCAGGTTTTCTAAAACCATTCTGTGGTATTTCATCAAAACCATATATCATAACTTGAAGAGTCACTCTCCAATTTATGGGTATTCCCTCAATTTCCAATTGTTTACCCCAACAAAATGAGCTGCTATAAAGATTTTTGTACATATTGGTCATTTTCCTTTGATGTCTTTGGGATGCAGATCTTGTACTGGTATTGTTAGGTGAAAAGTTATAGACAGTTTTGTAACTGTTTTGGTATATGTTTTGTGACAGTCCTCTGGCATAAGATAGCCCCTTCTGGGAAGATATAGGGTTCCTTTAGCAACCTTGTTTTTGATGAGTGGAGTCACAGTGCCATATTTCTACCACATAGGTGAAGCTGTCAAAAGATTAAAGATTTATGTAGATAGTCAATTTGTGTCTAAGGAGAAGTTAGTGGGTTAGCCAGAGCTAAGAAAAAAAAAACCCTTAATGAGTTTAGATTGCAAAAAAAATAATATTTCAAACAATGGACATCAAATCAATAATAACTTTCATTAACAAGTGATAGGGAAGACTGGGAGAGAAGGAAGTGGATAAGGCATAAGAGAAAAGGGGACCTGAAATATAGCTCAAGAATAAACATAACATAGAGCATATCTTAATTAAGGGCAATGTAGCTTGGGTGGGGTGTAGGGGGAAAATGCACAGAGATACTAGTTCATTCTTTTTCAAGGAATTGCTCTTGCATGAAAATACGTTCCTGTTGGAGGAGAGGATGTGCTCCTAAGTGTCCTTCAGAGAGATACATACATAAACACTGATTTGGTCACCCCCAGTAACTGATTATTTTTCATGTCAATGTTTAGTGCATATGGGATTTGGGGAATACATGGTTGCAGAGATTAAAGATGAATATAATTTACAAGATATATTTTGGGGCACACAACTGTATTAACCTCAAAAATTTATTACCAGTACTTTTCAATGGCTATATTTTATAAACTACAGCCTCACTCAATGGTACTCTGACATGGTAATCAGGACTAATTGTATAATAGTATAGTTCTAAACTGTTTTACAGAACAGTTGGACCAGTGTATCACTCCACCAACAGTGCATGTGTCTCTATTTTTCCACATCCCCTCTATCATTTGTCATTTTTCTTTTCTTTTATGTTAGTCATTCTGAAAGCTGTGAGGTGGTACCTCAGGGTTGCCTTGATTTGAATTTCTCTAATAAATAATAAATTAGAGAATTTAAAATGTGATTATTGATAGCTTTGTATTCTTCTGGAAAGTGTCTGTTTGTAACCTTTGACTAATTATCAACTGAGGAATGACTCTCATATTTCTACAATTGACTCAGTTTCCTATATATTAGAGAATTGAGGTTTTTATTAAAGAAACTTGCTATAATCCCCCCTACTTTCCTATAACTTTTTTGTTTTACCTACATTAGTTTTGTTTGTGTAAAAACTTTTTTCTTTTAATTTCCCCAAATCAAAATTACCCTTCTCCCTACTTCGATCTTGCCTCTGGTTATAAAATCTTCCCTTATCCATAGATTTCACAAGTAATATTTTTTCTGTGCTCTCTTAATTTGATTACAATATTATCCTTTATGCTTAAAACACACCTATTTTGACCTTATCTTGTTGTATGGTGATAAACAGTGGTTCTATGTTTACTTTCTGCCAGCTGCTTTCTAGTTTTCCTGAAGTTTTTGTCAAATAGTGAGCTCTTATCTCAAAAGCTTGGATCTCTAGATTAATCAAATGCTAGATTTCTATGGCCATTTACATCTGTATATATTTTTTTACCTAATCTACTGAACAGACCATCTACTGTATTTCTTACTTAGTAGCACATTTTTAAATGATTAATGCTTTGTAATATATGTTTAAATCTGTAATATATGTTAAAATTGCTAAGCCAACATCCTCTACTTTTTTTTCATTGATTCCCTGTTTATTGCCAGATGGATTTTGTCATTACTTTTATAAGCTTTATAATCTTTTGGTAGTTTGATTATGATGGTATTGAATAAGTAAATTATTTGAATTTTTTTTTAAATTTTTTTGGCTCAACCTATGCATTTGCAATTAATATTTATATGTTTGTTTATATCTATCTTTGTGTGAAAATTGTCATCTTTTTAAATATCACAATCCTGTAAGGACTATTGTATGGCTTTAAAATACATGGAACATAATAATGTCAAAGGAAATAATTCTTTAACTCTAAGGGCAGTCCATTCCACTTTGAGGCAGTTCTAATTTTCAGTGAGTCAGAATGGATAAATTGGCAGAAGCCTGACTTGGCTGAGTGAGAGAGGAGGCAGATCCAGTCTAGCACCACAAAGATATATGTAAGTAAGATGAGGAGGCACCAAAAACAGTAGTCTTAAATTGTGTTAGGTTGGAACAAAGATGCACGATTCAGAAAGTCATAATCCATATCTTGCTCCTAATTCACTTTGTGGATTAATACAAATAGATACCTTCTCCAGTGAGAAGTTTTCTTATTTATCTAAAATTATAATACAGATTATGCCCATATCCCCCTTATGGTACATATTTTTGGTTAATATAAATCTGGTTTAAGATCTGAAACTGTCTTTTTTTTTTCTCTGATGAATTTAGCTACATCCCATATTTACACATACATTAAGTCTTCCCAGTAGAATGGAAGAATGTAAGGGGCAAAGATTGAAGAGCTAGAGGGGAAAAAAAATGAACAAGTAAAAAAGTGGTTTGAAATTTCAAGGATGCAACCAAAAAGGCAATAGTTTCATTTTTTATATTGACAGAATGTTTTCCAAATGACAATAATTATGTAACATGTTCAATTAGTCTTGCTTATTTAATATGATTCTCATTAATTATTAAAATAAAAATTTATGTCTTGAATTCTTTCTGTTTAAGTGAAGATAATGTTCTTTGCCAGGTAATGTATTCCCATGTGTGCTGAAGCAACACTTCCCTGGGGCTTGATTAAAAAAAAAATGCATAATGGCAACAATAATTTTACATTCTGTCTTGTAGAATTTGAAAGCATGATATTTTTATAATGATCTGAATGAACACTACCTAGAATTCTGCTTAGATCTTCATTTGACAGTATTTCCCTCACTATAGGTCTTAGCAGTGAATTAATACTCAGCAATGCACCGAGGCCCATCAATTTCCTATGAAGAAAAAAGGTGGTCATCCTAGTCCTTTCAATAATGAAGATTACTTCATATTTTTCCATTTTGTAAATTATTTACTTAAACAATAGCCATAATATATTTCAAATTATATGCATTGTGCATGAATTCAAAATTAGGAAGAGCTATATTAACGCCTAATGCAAAACTTTTTTGAAATAATAGGTGATCATCCTAGTAACCATCATTGACACACATTTATTGGGTATATTTATATAAAGCATTCTTATGCCTATTGAATCTCTATCACAGAAAAGTGGATTATTCTTTGAGAAACAATATCCACTCTCTATGGTCACTAGGCAGTGCAGTAGATAGAGTGCCATGTCTTAAGTCAAGAAAACTCATCTTTTTGATATCAAATCTGTCATCAGACACTTTTCAGTTTTGTGACACTGGGCAAGTCACATAAAACTGTTTGCCTCAGTTGCTTATTTGTAAAATGAGCTGGAGAAGGAAATGGACAACTACTCTACAATCTTTGCCAAGAAAGCCCAAAATGAGGTCATAAAAGGGCAGACATGGCTGAAATGATTGAACAACAACAACAATAATCCTTTCTCTATGTTTATTATTTGACACCTCTTTTTGGGAAAGAAAGACTATAATTGGTTGTGTTGCAAATTGGATGGTGGGCTAATCTTAGAAACATGAAGTTTTAGGCTCAAGTCCTGGCTCTCACACCTATGAACTCTATCAACTTCATTTATTCATTTGTGTATTTATTCATTTGTTTGCTATTGTCTTTGTATTTCCAGTGTCTACAGAAGTGTACATCACAGAGGGCTTGTTCCTAAATACTTACAGATTGCTTCACTGGCAGCCACAATAATGGTTCTTGTCCTCTTCAATTTTTGTTTCATTATTTGCCTTTTATGTCTATGTCATAAAAACATTTTGAATTAATTATAGAATATAATATTATATTAATAACAACAAAAATAATAATATTTAAATAGCAATTATTATGTGGCAGACATTGTGCATTCCCAATTTTTTTCTCATTTGATCTTCATAACAATCCTGGGAGAGAGGTACCAACATTATCCTCATTTTATAAATAAGGAAACTGAAGCTGCTTAAAAGGCTTGGTAAGAATCACACAACTAGGAAATATCTAGGCTGGATTTGAACTCAGGCCTTCTGCTGCTAGGCCTGGTACTCCCTCTGTTGTGTACCTTGTTATCTATTCATAAGGTTATACTCTACACCCAGTTTCAAACAAACTACCTTATAGAGCTCCCAGTGTTTTTAACAAAAAATGAGTTCTTACACAAAAAAATCATTTCATCAGACTTATTTAACAATGAGCTATAGAGTTGAATTCTTCATGAATATAACTTAGAATTTCCCAGTCATCTACTTTTGCATTTTTTAACCAGTGGTACACAGTGATTTAACTCTCTCGAAGAATCAGGGATCAATCATATACTCCTTTCTTTCCCCTCCCCATTACATTTTTGCCATGAACAAAAAATTCTATGAACAAAGACACTTCTGTACCCCACCTCTAGCCCTGACCCTCATCTACAGATACAAACATTGGAGAATAAAATCTACTCAACCGTGGAATGAGTCTTAGATCGCAGCTTTGGTGGCCTGACTTTTATTTTCTCAAATATGCCGCACTAAATTAAATTCACCTTAACTACTAGATGCAACTAATATCTACATTGGTAAATAAAAAAGATTCATGGCTAGAATAATTCTTTTCTTCTCAAATCTCCATTGGCCTCTATGTTTCACTTAGACTGCATTACATTCTATACAAAAACATTGCCCATTTTACTATTCCAAAGATATTGTAAAGTTGTTAATATCTCAAAATATCCTTTTCCTATTGATCGTTCACTTGACTGTCATTCTTTTCCTTTAAATAAATAATTATAATTGCCTTTGATAATTTGTGTCCAGATTTTGTTTTTTCACAAGCCTGTTTGAATTATTAATGTCATGCTGTCTTGAAAGTGTTAGACACTGGGCAGAGATGACTCTACCTTTTTTGTGATGTTCTGCATCCTACAACTGATATTAGCTTCTCTGGTCCTGAGTGAATTTGTGTGGGTGTGTCCATGGCTTTCTTTAGCATACCACTTCTATCCAGTGTCCCAGATGAATTTCATATTTCTGTACATTACCATTATTATTTTTCCTTCTTTAGAATTATCTCACAATGGTATATCATCTTAATCTTGTCAAGAAAATTCACTGCAAGAAGAACAGCCTGGAACAGTATCCTAGCTGCTAGACCTTTTATCAGTAGAATCAGTTGACTTTGTCTGCTGTTCAGTTCCAATGTTCATGATAAAAAGTTGAGTCCTTCAAAATAGAACAGAACTTCCATGTGAACCATCATTTCAAATTCCTATTTATTAGTGTATTTTCTCCTTGTTTTTGTTCTACACAGCAGAGCTCCCTGAGTCATTAGCTGTCTGTGGCTATCTAGTCATAAAATCTGGGATTTGGGGAAGACGAGGTTCCTTGATGAAAGGTACCTTTTAAAAGAGGGCCAAGCTTTAATACACTTCTAAGGGAGGCATTGAAATCACGGTATTAATTATTTTCATATATCTCTTCAATAGTAGAAATTCAATGAAGCTAACAGTAAGTTTGAATGACACTTTTCTTATTTTTCAGGAGTTGTATCAATTACTAAGACAGGATTGCCATTCTTCCATCCACATATTCTCTTGATCTTTGATATGATAGATTCACTGCAATCTGCAATTGTCTTATTTCAGTCCTTGCTCAAATTACTAAATACAGGGAAATAGATTGTACATAAGATCCCCAGATCAAGAATGTATTGGGAATGCTTCCAGTATATAGCAGAATGTAAAGGGGATAGGCATGGGAAATGAAATAGAAGGAAGCCCAAAATTAATATGCCTTGGATGTGCTAGAATTTTTCTACCAATATAGGTGCAGTCAGGGATTGTTTCCCTTCATAAAATGTAAATTTGTTAATGGCATGAACCACTTTTTGTTCATCTTCTTAGGCCCAAATTTAACAAATTACTTGTCAGCAGAATTTTCTACGTGCTTGTTAATCAATTGATTCTCCCACACAAGAAAACTGTAACTAAAAGAGTTGTTATCTTTTCCTGACAAAAATTCTCTCCTTATAATTATATGGAACATGACTTTTTTTGTTTTTTTTAATGTAAAATGTAAAAATAAACAAAATCATTCTCTCTGCAATTATTACAAGAGATTATTTTTCTGCAAAAAGAAAGAATTGGAACGAATCTCTACATTGGACATTGAGAAAATCCTTACATCGATTTTTTGAAGACTCTTTTCAATGCACCTTTCACTTCATTGTTCCTCAAGTTGTAGATCAATGGATTGAGCATGGGAATGACCAGAGTGTAAAACACAGAGGCCATCTTGTCTGTATCAAAGGAGTGGCTAGATTGGGGCTGCAGGTACATGAAGAGAAGTGTTGCATAGAACACAACCACTACTGTGAGATGAGAGCCACAGGTGGAGAAGGCTTTGTGCCTGACCTCTGAAGAGTTCATCCTGAGAATGGCTATAAGAATGAGCACATAGGAGACAAGGATAATCAAGAGGGAATAAACCAAATTAAATGAACAAAGGATCATAATGATAAGTCCAATTTCACTTGTGTCTGAGCATACAATGGACAATAAAGGAAGACTATCACAGTAGAAATGCTGTATTACATTACAATCACAAAAAGACAAATTAAAAATCTTAACTGTGACCAGTAGGGATACAATGATGCTATAGATATAAGGGACCCCCACAAAGATGTAACACATCCTGTCTGACATGATAACCATATAGAGGAGGGGCTTACAGATAGCCACATAGCGATCATAGGCCATGGCTGACAGGATGAAAACTTCACTGGTCATAAATATCCCAAAGATAACCAGCTGTATTGCACACCCGTTATAGGAGATGTAATTTTTCTCCACTATAAAACTGACCAACATTTTTGGACCAACAACTGTGGAATAACCAAGATCAACAAAGGCTAGATGCCTAAGAAAAAAATACATGGGAGTTTGGAGGTGAGAATCAACACAGGTTAGGATGATCAGACCTAGATTCCCCAAAGCTGTGACCACGTAGTTGAGGAAAAACAACCCAAAGAGCGGGCCCTGAAGTTTGACATGGTTTGTGATGCCCGTAAGAATGAATTCAGTCACCTGGTTCCCTCTGGTGTCATTCACCTTGATCATCTCTTCTATCCAAGGAAGGTAATCTGAGAACAAAAGGAAGAAGTCTTCATTGAGGACTCTTTGAACAGTCATTTAAGCTATAGTGTCTGGAAATGGTTTAGATAAGGTGAGCAGGATCTTTCCCATCAAATTACAGTACATTAAAATAATATATCATATCTGCATATCATATCACATCATATCACATATGACATCATTTATCATATCATGTTGCAACACCATCTAAGAGAAAAGGGACTGAAGTTTTCTTCATAAAATTATGAATAAATCATGAAGCTTTTTAACCCCAAGAGTTTAATGGGATAATATTATGAATAACTTTTAAAATATCTTAAATAGTTAGTGGCAAGAAGGACTATAATGGGATACTGAGTAGGCTAAATTATATAATAATATATAAAACAGACATTGTGTTGTGTAGGTACAGAGCTGTCTTTAAAGCTTAGAAGACTAAGTATCTGGAACCATATCTAGTACATTTCTGAGTGACTCCCTGCTAATCATGTAGCATCCTGGTAGTCTTAGGCTACTCTCTTTGACTATAGGTTGCAGAAATAGTATATAGTCAGTGATAATAGATGGAATTTCCTTCTTAGGCATGCCTTAAGCAATTTAAGTTAAAGGTCCAGTATCTCTACCTGTCTCTATCATTGTGGTTTTTAACTGTATGACCTCTAGTAAGAGAACGTGTTTCATTTTACTTATGACAGTTATTTGTCTTTGCCTTATTGTAGAGAGTACATCTTCCTGCCTGGATTTTTAAGATGACCCAGGCTTACAGTTTTTATGTTTTTAATGCCTGCTATCCTCAGAAGCTTGAAAAGGGTTTTAAAAACAAATACATTAAGTTCATTTGATGAAGATAACCAATTACACATGCTTGATCTCAATGATCACTATTCTCCTATACATTTTTAACGATCAATGTTCCTTGAAAAAAGGTATTTGATTTTTCTGGTTACAACAAAACATCTACAACATTGGTCAGAGTTAGGACCTGTCATCTGGTGGGATTCCTAGAACTGTTTTATACAATTTCACCTTCAGTGAGTTCACCATACAGACTCTTCATGACATCATTCACTTATATGACAGGTTTAGTGATAAGCTTTTTTAAATAAACTGGTAGCATTCTATATGACTTTGGATACCTGATGTACAGAGATGATCACAAATGTTTACCTGAAAGATAGAATCTTCAACGGGTTTTTCATGATATCGTTATTGCCAGCTGGTGGAAGGAGACTTTATGAGTTTTGCAGTCCCCGAGAGACCATATCCCTGAAGTACTAGAGAACAAATGTCATATAACCATGTCATGGGAATTGCTTAGACTTATGTAATGAATGACAAAGTCTACACATTCACATAATTCGATGAAGAATTTATTAGATAGCTACTATGTGTCATGCTCCTTTTTGAAGGGTTTTATTGTGCAGGTTGTATCAAATCCAAGAACATTACAGAAGTTTCTGGGAGAGATATCTAGCCAGTGTAACATTTTTTTTTATTTTTTTAATAATCCATAAACTGAAGACCAAGTAGATGAAGAACATCTGGTACACAGATTTTAACATACATTTAGATGGGCTTGCCTTTTTGTGCACACATCTGGAACAGATGGTACCAACGGACACAATGTTAGGCAGAGAAATAACCAAGGAAGAGTCACCAGCTGGAATGCCTTTAGGGAATTAAAAGATTCTCTAGAGTGAATAGGTGGTGCAGTGGATAGAGCCCTAAGCCTGTAGTCAGGAAAATCTGAGATCTAATCTAGTATAATTCTGTGCCCCTTGGAAAGTGACAGAACCTTTATTTACCAGATTTTTCTCCATGCACATTGGGTATAATGATGATGATGATGATGATAATATCAATAATAATTTCCAGGGTTTTTGTGAGACTCTAATGAAATTTTTTATCAGGCAACCAAGTAGCCCAATGGATACACCACTAAACTTGGAGTCAGGAAGACCTGGGTTCAAATGTGGCCTCAGAGACTTACTAGCAATGTTACCCTGGGCAAGTCACATACTCTTTGTCAGTCTCAGTTCCCCAAGTTTAAAATTGGAATTATAATAGTGCCCAGCTCCCAGGGTTGTGATGAGGATCAAATAAAGTAATATTTGTAAAATTATTAACAGAGCAAAAAAAATATATATATATATGCTTGGCTCCTAAATTTCTAAATGAACCCAAGCTTTTTTTGACAAAGGTCTTTTTAAATATCACTGCTCTATAGATGTTTTTGAATATCTTTGAAAAAATACAGTACAAGAGCATCCTAAGAGCTTAATCCACTACCAAAAGTCAACTCACTCTATTTTGAGAAAATTTTGATCATTTTGTGAGTGAGCGTGGGTTAATGGCTAGAAGTTTGGCTTGGCTGAATCTAGAAGAGAGGAGGCAGGTCCAATCCAGAATCACAATGACATGTGTAAACAAGATATATAGACATCAAAATAAGTAGAACTAAATCACTGAACCCTGGATGAAGATGCAAGCCTTAGACATGAAAGTCTTTGGACACATCCCATATCTTCTCTCCTACATGTAATAACATGACTTGCTACGCTCCCTAGTGAGTTGCTTTCACATTTTTGTGAAATCTCTGAACTTTGATGCTCCAAAAAAAACAATAATATTGACCTAGTCAGGATTCTTTAACATATCAATATTTTTAGTTCATACAGATCTCATTTCACATATAGAATCTACCTTTCTACCTTTCTCCTTTCCATCTTTCCAATTTTTTAGCATCAGCTTTGAATATAATATGAATTTTTCTGGAACTTTACCCCTATGTATTTACTGTTATGCCCAAGACACAGCAATCTCATTAGAGGTACTTTATAAATACATGAATGTAGATCATGGTAATGTTGATGAAAATTATTGAAGATGATGGGCAATTAGATGGCATAGTGTATAGTTGGACTTGGTACTGGGAGCACCTGAGATTGAATCCTGACTCACTGGATATGTGACATTGGACAAGTCATTTAAGTATTATCTACCTCAGTTTCCTCATCTATAAAAATGAAGATATTAATAGCACTTATCTCATATTATTGTCAAAGAGATAATGCATATAAAGGTGTTTTGCAAATATTAAAATACAATATCTATGATACAATAAATAAATATGAATGACAATGAGAGTGATTGTGATGATTTCAAGGATGATGATGATGAAGATGATGATGATGATGATAATGATGGTGAATATGATGGTCCTAATATAGATAGCAAGATGAGTAGACACTTCTGTGCTTGGAGTCAAGATCTCCATTCAGATAATCCTCTAACACTTGTAAGTTTTTTTTAACATTATAAACCACTCAATCTTAGTAATCTATTAATGTGCCACTTGCCAGCAATGTCAAGTATTTAATCTCTATGAAATATTTTATCCTTAAAATGAAGGTAATAATTGTGGTTGTACCTAAGATATAGACTCAGTCTTAGAGTTAGGATGGCCCGAAGGCTCAGGGGTCCTCTATTTTATCAGAAGGAATGGAATTGTTGATTCACATCACATCCAGGCCCTATGACCAGTTAATTAGCTTTGATGGGATTCAGAAGCAAAGAGGTTGGGTAAGGTATGTGACTGCATCAAGAGTGGGGGTGGAATCCTAAAAAGAGCTATTCAATGTAATAGCTCCAAGACCTCTTGACATAGAGAGTTGGGTGCTGAAGGTAAGCTCTATCATTATGGAACTTTGTCAGTACTTTGGATCAACTACAACATTGTAAAAGAAAAAAAAGGAACAACCACTTTAAAACACTTAAAGCTCTGATCAAGTGGATGACCAACCATATTAGCCAGAAATGTGTTCCTACCTCCTGGCAGAGAGGTGATAGACACAAAATGAATAAACATACACTTTAGACCTAGCTACTGTGTAAATTTATTTTGCTTGATTATACTAATTTATTAAAAACATATATTTATTTAAATGATAGCTCTGTAGGGAAAGTGGGGATTGGACAGTTGATTGAAAATAATGATGCCAAAAAAGGGGACCACAGAAATATCTTAGTGTTTTAATGGAAAGAAGAGAAACAAAAGGAAATATAGAAGGAAGACTATACAAGCAGGATAGTTTTGAAAGTAAAGGGTAGTCAAATACATATATAAATGGATATGCATACATACATATGTGTATATCTAAATAAAAAGCAAGTAGTGTGAAGTGAATATTCATAGGTTCATATAGGAACCTTATTATGGTCAGCTTTGTGTATGGAAATCCCACTTTTTAGTGTTTAAGCTCAAAATTTTTTAAAAAATAAATAATTAAATAAAATAAGTTACCTAGAAGATTTATATCACAATTGCCAAAACTGAGTGTTACAAACCTCAGCGAACATCTGGTCCAACCCATACACCACAGGATGCCTCACTACAAAGTTACCCAGCAGTGATCCATTATATAGCAACTAGTCCATCCTATATATGGATTGTCCACAATATACTCAACAATGTCATCCATTCTTTGTTTAAAGACCCCCGAAGAAGAAGAAATTCATCATTGCTAAAGCAGCCAAAGCCCTTTTGGATACCTTGGATTATACCCACTCCGCATCCTATCCCATGTTTTCCTGTGAAATTTGGAGTATTTTTATGCAAAAAAAAATTGTCTCTGAATGCCAATGTAAGTGTGCTGTGTCCATTGCAAAGAAGAATGATGTCAGATGCTGCCCCCTCCTTCTAGCTTTTCCTCAGATATTTTGAAAAAGATGTTCTTCTTACTTGCTGTAACTAGGAGAAATAGCAAGTACTACACCTTTCTTTGTCCTTTTTCATTCAGTATTTCCCCTTTTTCTTCCCTACTTTTTTCCCTTCCTAAAACCCTCAGAACTAAACCAATGTATTCATGAACCTTGTTTTTTCCCCCTGAATTTGTCACATCAACATCATTTTAAATATTCAACTTCTAAATGAATACTTATTTCTGTTATCCATTAATTGCTTGTCATTATATTCAGCTCGATCTAGT